GTGCTTATAGGTGCTTATTTTTTTAACCAAAATGTGGCTACGAACCCTGATTTAGGAAGCCGGAAGGAAGCATTGTCATCCACAAAATTTGACAGTTCAACATCTCTCTGGTTTCATGTTGAACATCCCCAGAAAATTGTTTTGCATTAAACATAATCTATGGAATAATTGACTCTGCTGTCATAGATATCAATGAATAGTTCATAATGAGTGATTGTCTCAAGACTGATAAGAATTGTTAATGTTAAGAGACATATTTTCCCATTTAATCTTTATAGTTTGAATTTCAAGCTGAGAATCTTACTGTCCAGAATTTGAAGTTTGGGTTTCTTAGTAAAAACACCAAATTTTCACCGCCTTTTTAAACATCTTTGTCAGAGAATACGATAATCTTTAAGTTTAATTTGGTGGGAAGCTTTCATTTAGTCTTCAGAATAGCAGTAACTTGAACATTATATATCAGCAAGATCCAATAACTGATATTGCTGAATTCATGTGGCACTCACGTGCAGACAATAAATAGTACTCTTGCAATATTTTTAAAGTATTTGTACTACAGATAAAGAACCCTCGTAGACTGACTGATTTTTTTAATAGGGCCTCTGCTAATAATACCCTGAATCTGTCCTTATTATTTATTCTGTGTGATGAGTGAAGCAGCATTTAAAATCCTGGTAATGGAGTCACAGTAAAGAGAAATAAATACAGTTTCTGTAGATCCAGTGATTTTGAGGCTCCAGGGGATAAAAGTTTGGCTTTGCTTCTATCTGCTGTGCTTGGCTGAGCATGTTGGTTTAGCCTTCATGACTAGGATAATCCTTATGAAGAGTACTTAGTACTTACCTTGATGTGCTTAGTCCATTCTGCTCAGTGTAGTCCACAGTTAATACATTATTATTTTGGTGACATATTGCTTTGCTTCATGCTTGTGTCGAATGGAAAGAGAGTGACAGCGCGCGATAGCGCACTTTTACTCTGCATCAGATAAAAGAATGTCTGGAACAACAAAAGGAAAATATGAAGAATCAAGATGGTAGAATGGGATATTTCACTTAGCCGCCATCAGTCGGCGAATACATTTTGATGAACTTTTCGCGTGGGGAGGGGAGGTATATAATCAGATAGTACCAAATAAAATATTCAAATTTTTATGGGTTACAGGACTATACATGACAAAACAATTCTCTCTAGCAAAGTGCTAACTGGATACGGCTAATGACACAGCATAATTTATCTTCAACTTATTTCAAAGTGTCAAAAGTTTTCTAAACATTAAAGATATATCTCTAAGGTTAGTTATTTCAATTTAATAAAAAAAAGTAGGACACTACTTTAAAGTCTCTAATGGACAATATTTACTTTGAAACAAGAAGCTCTTATGAGAGATATGAAAAGTGCATTTAATTTAATGGTGGCCAATTGGCCATGTTGGTATATATATCTTTCTGCAGAAAACCATTTGGCATATGTTGTCCTCTAACAGAAAAGATCCAATCATCTTTTGAGAAAGCAAGTGAAAATTTTGTTTCTTAAAATTAAAAGCCAAAAATATCGTAAATGTGCATCAAACTGTTTTAAAACATAACTGCTTTACATCTCCCACTAATGCATATATGTTACACAGCAACTTAAGTGTGTTAAATATGCAGTTGTAAATGTTGATGTATGTTTTATTATTATTATTATTTGCTCTATGAATGGAAATATACACTGGTGTGCAAAAATTAAGGACGAAGTCGAAATTAGCAAGCATCTAACGATAGGCGAGCGGCCGAAAACCAATCGAGATTAGTCAGGGTGTACGTTGCACATGCACGGATTGCAGGTAGACGTAACGGGGAGTGTCTGAGTAGTTAAAGCATTTGTCGTGTAGACATATTTCTCAAAGAGAGTGCACGCCGATAGCAGTTCAATCACACCGATTGCTTGCCTCAGCGAGAAATGGCTAATAATCAATCTGTTAGACACATCTGGATCTTTTACCCTAGGTCGAATCATCGGAAGTTGGGAGGCCCCTGTGACAAGTGTGGCTGCGAGTTCGAATGCCACGCATCGTTCACGACTTTGAACATTTCAAACTACGGAACAGTATCCGGGGGTTTAGTAGTGTCGTCCCGAGGGACCACACCGCAGATGCCGGTATATATTGCCTTACAGCCATAAGCGCAGGCGGCAGACAGCTGAGAAATCGCTACCCCGACACAGGCGCTGGCGACCGTATCGCGTTTTATTTGGCCAGAAGACTCACGGGTGTCTGTTTGCATGACGCCCTGTACGGTGTTACCTTACGCTCCCATCAAGAAGCGTCGCTGTGTGCCGGGAACATGAATTGGAGAGACAATGAATGGGGACAGTACTTTTACGATGAGCAGATTAGTCTGAGAGCGATCTTCTCATCGCAACTCTCTGGAGAGAGCGGGGAGCCGCATCATCCCTGAACATCATTGAAGGCACAGTTGATTGCGGTGTCTCGTTGGGGAGCATCATGCTTGTATCGACAGACTTCATCTCGCCCAGGTTCAGTCAACGGGACCCGTTATTGAACGAGTTCTTCTTCATATGTGTGTCCCTTTAGAAGGCTCTATGGTCCGCCGTCCTTTTCATGGACACTAATGCACCATGTCTCGCACGTACGCCTACAGCTCTTGAAGTGAGATTTTGTATGGATTGCCACACGATCTCCGACCTCATCCAAGAGCATTATGGATTTCTAGGCAGACTCTTCAGCTCGTACCTACCACCGTAACGATTCCAGAGCTCGATTGTGCGCAAGACAATGGCAGCAATCCTACACCATTGACACCTCATCTCAGCATGGGCAGACGCTGTAAATCTGCTACAGTCAGGGAGTCATTCCCCATTATATACCGGATGTTTCATGCTGACCCCATCACAGGATGTTCGGCCGTCAGTCGCATGCTCTCCAGCGACTTTTTCAATAAAGCTTCTTTTATCCCTCTGATTTCCGTTTATTAGTGTTGCTTCCATTACTCATTCCTTTACGTATGGGATCTTACGGTATATGTTGGTTGGAAGCTTTGTACAAAGTTATATTGAAAAAACCGTCTCGTCCTTAATTTTTGCACACCAGTGTATATTAAAGCTCTTAGTAAAGCAATACAAGAAGATTCCAATGTAACTGCAAGGCTGTTTGAACATAAATATTCAGTGAATTGAGAAAGAAATGCTTCAGTTTTTAAAATGGCAACAGTAGTTATTCTTTTAAATTAGAGGTATTGAGGAATTACGTAGGACATATTTCTATGAAAAAGAAAGATGAGTTATGTGAATCTCTTTGGCAGTTCTAATGCTGACTGGTTAATTGGTAATAACTTCATATGATATTGTATTCTCTCCTTCAATTACTGATGATCATGTATTTTTAATTATTCGTAATTTTTATTAATTTGCAGCTGAGTGGTATACCCCAAGATGATATCTTTTTAACATCAAAATTGTGGTGTACTGATTATGGTTCTTCATCTACTAAAAAAGCATTTCAGGGCTCTTTGAAACGGCTTGGAGTTGACTATTTAGGTATTAACATTTTAAATAAATGATAAAAATTTAGTTAATAATTATTTGCTGAGGACTTATATTTTTATAAAATATATCTTTTTAGCTAAGATTTTGAAAATTCATGCTTTGAAGAATGTTTTATTTGATTTTGATTGTAGCGCTATTAATTACGAGGATGGATCCCCCTCGAAAAAAGTTACAAGAGTAGCAAAAATTTATTTATTAAGAATAGACAGAAAATACAAAATGAAATTAAGAGGCGTACATGCGTATTATTTTTCCACATAATCACCAAATCTATTTAGGCATTTATCGGAATGTAAGACCAACTTGTTTAACCCATCTTGGTAGAAATCACATCCTTGCCCTTTGAGCCTGTTCTTGGTAGCTGTTTTCCCATCACTTTTCAGAAGGGAACCTCATTCCATATAAATATTCCTTCAATTTCAGAAAAAAGGAAATAATCACTGGGACTTAATCTGGGCTAAGTCACCCACGGGGTGGGCAACTTCAGACTTTTCACTTAAAACTTTAGCAGCAAGTCTTCAGTTTGGCGAGCAGTTTAGGGCTGGGCACTGACATTCAAGAGTATGACACCATCACTCAATGTGCCAGTGTACTTGTGTCAAATGGCTTCACTTGTCTAAATGGCTCAAGAAACGATCGGGAGTAATATTATGGCCATCCCCCCAACACTCAATCAAAACAGCGAATGATGGCTCGCACCTCCAAGGTAGACTACTTCTCTAAATATCTTGCCGTTGCAATCGCTGTGACATGTCTGCAAACATACTCTACCTACCCGTACAAATGCTGCTGAGCAAGTGGTGCCATTTGCTTTAACTCTGGGGATAAAGTATTCCCTCCACAATAATTATTTTCAAATGCTGATGCTTGTAACTTTTTTTTTTTAATCCATATATGTATATCATTTCTTTGATTCTAAGATGCACCTCTTTATTTTAGTACTGCTGACACTTCAACAGAATTTGGAAGCAAATGAATGAGATAAAATGTTTTAATATGTTAAGGAAATATTTCTTAGCAAATGAATTTGAATTACTGTGTTTCCCTTTCGTATATTTCCCTCTCTCATGTTCTCTCCTTAGCTTTTTAGCAGCAAGTTCTGAAAATTTTAAAAAAATTTTTGGATTTTTTCCACTTTGTCAGTGAGTTTAGAGAACAAGCTGCCATAAATTTCAAAATAGATTCATATGCATTGTGCTTGTTTTCATCTTACTTATTAGCATAAACCCTCACAAGCCTCCTTATAAAGGTCACGTCAAACTTTCTGCATCTAATTGTAGAACTTAATGCAACCTATCCGTATCCATACAAGTATTGCCGCGCGTGACGTTTCCGGCTTATGATAAAAGGTGCAGAGGGCACATGACAGTAGTAGAGTCCGAGCGGGTAAATTAAAAGTCAGAGGCAAGAGAGAAAGAGGGTGACCATGCATCCCAGGCCAAGACAAGGCAAAAAAGCGAACAAGTGGAAAAACATCAGACAGAGCGGTGAGAAATTATGTACAGTTAAATATCAAGTGAGATACAAAAATTTTACATAGCACAAAAAATAAAAATAAGAGGCGATACAAATTGAGAACAAAAATTTCAGTAGCTGAAAGTACAAGATAAAATTAAGTAGGGAAATTAGTGTCACGGGTGAGGTGGGCCACGAGTGGTCTAATATCAGAGTCTTCCGTGAGAACAACGTAGTTTAAAACATTGAGTTTCTTGAAGTATTTCACAGTTTCTCGCCTTCTTGAAAAAGTTATCGTTCATCTTATGCAGGTGCTCTTCAACCGTCTCAACTTTCAGGTCCTTGTAAAATTTGTATTATTTAAAACCAGGTAGTTGGCTTCAGTCATTGTCCTGAGAAACTGATTCTGGGTGATCTGCAGTTTCTGAAGATCTCTTTTCCGGGCTGAAGCCCAGGCAGGAGATGCATAAGCAAAATTCGGCTTAATAATGTCAATGTAAGTGTGCCTTTTTCGGTTGCATCCAACAGAGGTGTCAATCTTTGAATGACTCCTAGAGTTTTCCCTCTTACATCCTTTATGTGCTCAGTCCATTTGACGTTTTCAGTGTATCCAAGATAGGTTGCTTTTGCAACTAAAGGAACTTCTGTGTTGAAAAGCTTTAGTTTGGTAGCTGGAAGAGTTCTGGATTTTTATCTTTGATAATTAACAGTTGAGATTTATCAGCATTAATTGCCACTCTCCACTTTGTGTACCAATGCTCAAGGTCCGGCATGAAATTCTGGAGTTTGTCAACTGCAAGATCTTGACTAGCCGACTTCACAGCAATTACTGTGTCGTCGGCATAGCAGCCCAGGAAAAAATTATGGTCCATGCTGATTTTCGGTATGTCAGCCACATAGAAAAGATAGATAATGGGTCCCAAAATAGACCCCTGGGGGACGCCAGCGTGAATCATCTTACTCTCAGAAGAGTCTTTCCCAATGTTGACAAAAAATCTGTGTCCTTTAAGAAACGAGTGTAGAATGAGTATTAGCTCTCTACTGAAGTTTAAGCTGATAAGCTTGAAAATTAGCCCCTCATGCCAGATGCGGTCAAAGGCTTTCGCCACGTCTAGCATGAGTAAGGCAACAATTATGATGGGCACCACCAATAAACTCGTTTAATATGACTAACTGCTTGGTAGTGGAAAGTGACTTACGGAATCCAAATTGTTCCACTGGAAGTTTATTCATGTGAGGTTGAAGGCTATTAAGTATAATTCTTTCTAGAATCTTCCGCAAACCGGGAAGCATGCTGATTGGCCTATATCCCTCGGGTTTCGTCAGATCCTTGCCTTGCTTAGGTAAAACGATCATTTTTGCGACCTTCCATTGTCTCGGAAAATAAGTGTTATACAGGCATGCATTAATAATTCCAGTGAGTCTTGAAATTATTCCAGAAGATAACCATTTAATAGCAACATTGTTGATTTCATCGAAGCCAGGGGCCTTTCTGTTACGTAACTTTTTAATGATATCATTCACTTCGTTGGGTGAGGTGAGTTCTATACTAGCATCTATTTTAGGAGTGTCAAGCCATTCTTATGGCAACCTAATACAAGAACTGACCTATCACATCAAAGCAAACACTAACTGACATTTCATTTGTGATTTTGCAAAGTCAGCTGACCATTCATCTTTTCTAATTACTTAATAATGATTTGAGGCCTAAGGAATAGCAGAAACAACAACAAGAATGGGCGAGATTCAAGTTGTAAGAAAGTAGAAAGGAAAATATCTTATATCTTGTGATGTCTTACTGTAAGTGCATCTTTTGGAAATGAAATGTTTGCCATAATTTTCTCTATTGATTTTTGGTGCCCACCAATGGCCGAGCAATAAAGAAGCTGAACACTGGTAGTTCGATCTGAGGTTTGAATCCTGCGAACGGGCTGACTGCATGGGTGTTTCCATAGTTTTCCCCATGTGTAACGTATATACGAGCCAGTTTCCTTAGAAAGTCCTCCACGAAGGCATCCCTCCCTTTAGGCTGATAGCCCCCGTGTGCTTTGCCATAATTGAATAATCCAATCCCTATTGATTTTTGGATGTAGTAAACAAAGGGCAAAAATATGTGAGAATACACGATATTAAAAGCAGTAATATAGCTAATGAATTATCTTGAAAATTAATATATAATAATTAATAGTTCAGACTAATATGTATTCTGAAACTTATCTTTTTCTAAGTAACTTTTATATAGAGGAAAATGTGTCTTAGGATAAAAAAATTGTGGTAATATTAATTGTAGTTTGTGAGAAAGGGTTTTATTTCTTGTGTCATTTCTGGTTTTTTTAATATAAAAGTAATACATGGTTTTGTTTTGTTCATTTTCTTTGTGTTATTTCAAATTTAAATTTTGGTATTAAAAATGAGAGGAAATACTCTAAATTGGCATGTTGAAACTATGTTTAAACATAAATAAAAATAAGAGCTTTCACAAATGACCTCTGTCTTTTTTGTCAATTAGAGCTTGAGTGGTTGATTTGATTAAGTTGGCCTTTTTTTCATTGCTTTCTGCAGGGTTTTTGTACTCAGTAACGATATGTAAGAAAGGTCAAAAGAAAGCTAGCTGTTTGCAACACAGTTTGGTGGGGATTTCAAGCACTTCTTTAATTTTAAGTTTGTTTCTGTTCGTGGGTTTGGCGATGGTTTTGGCCTTGTTTCCTTCAATTATTCAGTGTGGATGCCTGTACGAGTATTGAATAAAAGATGTGTTATTTTTGTTGATGAACTTGTTGGTGGAGAATTTATAGATGCCATTTTTATGCTTTCTAATCCTTATTGTTAGTTTTCTATATGTTGAACATATGTATTGAGTTTCTGTGTTTGTATTTTCATTGCATTTCATTCAAGATAGTATATACACCTGAAGGGCCTGTATTTGTGATACCCAAGTTATCTGATCTAAATAATTTCTAGATGGATGGGGCTATAGTAATTGCAAGATTGTAACCAAATTTTTTGAAAATGGAACTGAAGCCTATGATAATTGGATTGAGAAAATGTTCCAACAAATTTGCTTTATTTGATTCTTACATAGCAACAGCTTTACTTTTTGAAAAATAACTGAAAAGCTTAGCTGTTGATTTTCTTGGTAAGTTTCTCACAAATTGGGAGGGTATCTATTGTTTTCTGCACTTTATAGCATGCATTTATATATAATTATAACATACTATAAACTGCCGAAAATAGAGATAAGAATTGTATTCTTAAGTTATTTAAAATTCAGTTTTGTATTTATGATATAAAGGGCGATTCACAATGAATATAGCTATTACAAATGGCTATAAATATTTAACTGAAAATAATTTCTAACAATTGCATGGAATATAGAGGGAAGTTCAAAATTTTGTTTACATGGTTTATAAATGTTCTATTCGATTCCCCTAGGTAACGCGGACATCTAAGTGGTAGTCCATTTTGCACCAGGCATTTTGAATTTTCCAATCAATTTCGGTGATTTTTTTTATGGAGTTATGTGAGAGACCCTGTGTATGCATTTTCTTTCACCAAAAATAATTCCAGAACTCAAAATGTGCATTGGCGACTCCAGATATGCTTCTGAATGCCTGGTGTGGTATGGGATACTGCTTAGATGTCATCCGTGTTATCAAGGAGAGTTGAATACAACATTTAAAAAGTATGTAAGGAAAATTTTGAACTTCCTTTTACATTCTTTATTATTCTTATTGATAAATTCTTTTCAGTTAAATGGTCATAGCCATTTATAATTGCTGTATTAATTTTGAATTGCATTGCATTTAAATGCCTTTCAATTTAAAATTTGTGTAAAATGTAATATTTGTGTATTAAATGTAAATGCAAAATTTATTTTGTTCTTGGTGATATTTTTATAGATCTTTTCATGCTTCATTGGCCTTTATGCCCATCATCCTGTATCAATAGAGCGAAAACTTTAGAAGAGACATGGCGAGAATTGGAGCTCTTATATGATGAAGGTACGCTGAAATTTTTGTTTTTGCAAGATGAGTAGCTGAACAACTTTTATTCTTTCAAGTTGTAATAATTGTTGATTAATTTAATTAACAATCAGTATTTTTTTACCCTTTTAGCAGTCAAACGCAACATTAGGCATGTATTATGGGCCATTCAGTTATTGTCACACAGCATGTACCTGGGCTGAATAAATTTAAATATAAATTATACTGATTATATCTGAAAACTGCAAAATCTTTAACAAAACCATTTACTTCATTCAGCTTTTATATCGTCATTGACATTAAAGTGTCTTTAACTAAGCAAGCAATAAATGTCTAAAAATAGCTAAGTACATTTGCTAGTATTCTAAAAAATCTTAATTAAACCACCAGCAGTCAGGGAGATGATTCATTCTTTCTTCCTAAACATGTGCCATATCTGTCAGTGGCAGTGAGACCAGATGGTCGATGTTTATCTCTAGATGCTTTGTTAAATGTCTGTTGTCTCTGTGTGGAAAATAGAGACCCTTTTGAAAAAGGAAATATGCATTTATCTTTATAGTAAGTTACAATTTTACCCAGATTAATAGGAAAATAATAAAAACACTATACTCTATTATAGCAATAAATTTAACATAGCAAATACTTTGTTATTTGACATTATATTTTCATGTTAATACTTTGTCAATATAATAAATAATACAGTCAAAAGTCGTTAATCCGGACTCGTCGGGACTTCGGCGATTTCGGATTATCGATTTTTCCGGATTATAGATCATCAGTTTAAATCTCGTAAAATGGCATGCAGAAATTCTAAAATTAAAAATATGAAACTGTAATTTATGAAATAAAGAACAATTATGATCTAAAGGGTATCAAAATTTACAAAAAAAAAAGCTTAATATTTATTTGTTTACTTTATTAAACATTTCTTTTCAATGTAAGTTGTTTAAGTTGCTTCGTCTTATGTGATAATACTTTCTCTTTAATTCTATAAAACAGACATAATTTCGTGTTCAGTTACAAGTTCTGCTGTTAAAGTCCTGTAATTGCTGTGCCGAGATACCGACTAACTTGTCAATCAAAATTTTTTTCGTTTTCACTAACCTCTCTGTCACCTTCTTCATGTCTTTATCCATTTTTTGCAGCAATTCCACTTTTTTTTTGATGGACAATCGAAACACATACTTTCGTTTTGTAGATCCTTTGGGAGCTCCAGCATCGGAAATTCTATTTGACATAATCGAAAGTTCAAGTTTACTTTTATAAAATTGCTCTTACAGCCTGAAAAAAGTAGTAAGCCGGATCCAGTTTGAAGATTAAGGAACAACGCAATTATCAACATTAACTGAAATAGATAATTAGATAATTTTAGCTTATACCGTCCGTTATATATTAAACGCGCACGCGAAAACGTATTCTGCACTTGCTCACAGGCATATGTGCAGTCGTAAAGGTCTTACGTGCATGCGTATTATTCATCATGCATAAACGCCTATGCACATGTGTCAACGCGGCGCATGTGCAGAAAGTTTTTAGCTTTGAGGTCCGGATTATAGATCACTCCGGATTATGGGTGTCCGAATTAACGACTTTTGACTGTATTTTATCACTGAAGTTTTAAAATGTAACAAGACATGTTATATAGTTAATTTGCAAATCAATAATGCATATAATATAATAATAAAAAATTTAATAAATATATATATATACACAAACACTTTATTCTGTGGTAGACTTTGAAACATGGAATGGTACACAAAGCACATTCCTAAAATCTTCTCCACTCGAATCATCATCTGAACTTTCAAACACATATCTGTGTCTGAATAATTTTCATTATCTAATAAAGATTTTTGTCTTCAGAATCATATTCCTTATTACAAAAAAAAAAAAAAAATGGGCTTTACCTTTCAATTTGAGGCCATTTCTAGCTATAATGTGCATTCAAAATATTGCAATAGAAACTCAAACTGCTAAATTCTTTCTTGGAATCTGCAGTGTCAAATTTACTCACTGCAGGAAATATAGTACTCATGCTGTCTTCTATACCAAGAACTCATTCACAATGCTGAAATTGATTGGATAATTTTGAGCAATGACCCATTTCTTGTGCACACATTAAGGCGAAAATCTAGTTCGCAACTGGGACTCATGTTACTATTTAGGCAGAAACTTCTAATGCTTAGCTGTGTTGTTTGTGCCTGCTGTGGCATGCAACTTGTAATGTGAGCTGACGTTGTTGATGACCATCAAAAGATTAAGCTCGTGTGCTTCCCAGCTCATGTTCTGTTCATAGGTCAGGCAGCTTTTACACATGTTGTTTTTGTACAATTCAAATCTATAAAAAGGTTTAAAGTAAAATGCAGTAAAAGTACTGAAAAATGTACTTTTGGAGGAGTTTGATGAATAATTCTGATGAAGATGTCCACAAGTATTTAGTATAGAACTGCAATCTAACTTTTTAAAAAATATTTAGACATGCAGCTGTTATTTGTACGGAATGCATACAGGACTACATATTCAATAGTAATGTGTATTTATTTATATGTATGGATTATTAACTCATAGAGAAAGACTTTTTTTTTTCAAAATATGTATGAATTCATAGCCCATAAAAGACTTCAAAATTCATGTGTGTGAGCATATGGCTTTTAAATGTGCTGCAGTCGTACATGGACAAGAACAAATCTTACCTTTGAACCTACAGCTGTGCTTCCTATTTACTGGTTAATCATCTCTATCAGTTTCAGTAATTTGCTGTTGGGAATAGTGATAGTAGAAGTGTTGTAAGTGTCGAAATGTAAGTGAAGAACAGCAGACTTTAAACTGCAACACATCCCATACAGTCTTCCTGCACATTTGCACATTCATTTCAGGCCAGTGTGACTAAATATGAACAATGGAAATTGAATTGCAGATGGAGAATCTTGGGTGCTTTCTCGGATTGCAGGAAAGCTGTTAAACTTTCTCTGAGCTCACTAAGAAAGAAGGGAAGACTAAGAATTTTAATGGAAGTATCCTCCTTTAATTATAATTATGTTTAATTAAATCATTGCAGCCTTGGTACAGGATTCATAATAGTCCTTTCTTACATTTAATTATTTGTTAAAATTGATATATATATATACTCTGAAACAATGTGATTAACAAACACACAAAGTATATAGTATATACATAAAGAAAGAGAGAGTGGGAATTTTTTGTCATTTGTTTTTATACATTCTACATAATTATGACAAGTGTATTTAACTGGTTGAGAGTTAAGAATGGAATATTGATTATTGCAGTGCAATGCATGAAGCAGGAAAGAGTGAGAATGCAGTATTTTGTCCAGCATTTAATTTCTTTAACATTTCTTCTAGAATTTTTGGTACTGAAGTATTAGTACGATCGCCTTGTAGAAGCTGCCAAAATTAGAAGCATTAGAAGTGCTAAACTCTAACAACAGTGTGCATAACAGTTCTTTGGTTTTTAACAAGCAATGTTGGCACTTTCTTTCGCGTTTTGTTGTGTATAAAGTTCAAATAGTTTTTAAAAGCAAATGATGAAATAGTGAACTTAGATTTAATTATGCAGTATAAACTCAGGGGTTCACCTACAGTGGAAGAAATTGTAATATTTCTGCAGAAGTACAGTTGTCACAAAATTGCTAAGTTACCAATAGTTTACATTCTGTTCTTAACCCTTTCCAGGTGGGTGGTTGGTCATATATGCCATTTTAGCATTTGGCTCATCTAATGACAAGTGTGATGTCTACATCTCAGAGGATTAGTGCCTAGTTAGACTGCTGTATCATACTCGAGACAATCACATGGAATAAAATGTAAATATTTTTAATTCTAACAGATCATACCCTATGTCCATGGTACCAAGATAAATGGGAATGATGATGCCTGAACTTTGACCTTGAATTGTTTCATTTGTTTCTGGAGGGTAGGTAGTGGGATTCAGTAATCTCGATTAGCTTGCTGGGTCTATGCATGTTCGTTTCTGTTTCTTTCAGGTAGCTTTCTGAGGGAAGAGTATCTTGCATTAGTGCAGTTTTTGTTTATTTTCTTCTGTTCATATGTAGAGTATGGTGTTTTTTGTGTGTATGTAACATTTTTAGTTTTCTTGCATTAAGATGTCATCAAAAGCAATATTTAGCGAAAGCTGAGTATACATTTTTATTACAAGAAGGTCTGAGTAGCAGCGATATCCGATTCTGATACAGATATTTTATCAGATTTAGAACTGCATTTCTTTTGCCACAACTTCTGCTCCATCCGTAAGTGAGAATTAATCTGTTACACTAAATATTTACAGCCGCATACTTGCATTGATACCACACCCATCCTTAAAGTGCAATATATGGTGACTGTGATAAAGATTTTTTGACAATGATTTAATAAATTTAATTATGGAACAAGTAAACTAATTTTGGAGATTTTGACCTATAGCAAGGTCTAAATCTCAGTGGGTCATCTTGCGTGTCTCCTGATCCTTCTCATTTCAGTTCCATGTCACATGAAGAAATGAACCTTTTTTTTAGCATTAAATATACTGATGGGTATAATTAAAAAAATGGCATCTAAAATTGTACTTTACTATTGCTATTCCATTTTTAATGGTGTCAAGAGAGATATTTTTAAGGATGTTATGATATCGTCACTTTACATCAGACAGTAGTGCTAAGAAATTGGGTAAATTGAAATAACTTATTGAGACACGTGCAAAAATTTAAAAATGTGTATAAACTGAAAAAAAAAAAAAAAAAAGAGTGTCTGTTGAGGAATCTTTGTTTATGTGGAGATGCAGGCTAGGTTTTAGACAGTATGGATCATTGAAACAGTCCTGATATGGTATAAAAGTATGTAAGCTAAGTGAATCCGATACAGGTTATGTTTGGAACTTTTTATTATATACAGGCAAAGATCTTACAGCAAGAAGCAGCCTATAGGGTGAAAACCCTTATAAGTGATCTTTTGGGAAAAAGAATACAACTTATATCTGGGTTTTTCACTTCACCATTACTTGCATCAGATTTGTATGACACAAAAGTGAATGTTTGTGGCACAATCAAGGAAAGAAAGAGAGGTCTGCCAAAGAATGTCCTATCAAAATCAATGAGACAAAATGATGTAGAGATGATGTATAGTATAGTAAAAATATGTATCTGCTTTTATTTAAAGATTAAAAAAGTATTGCTTTTAACTACAGTGCGTAGACACTAACTAAAAGATTCTGATAAACAAATTTACAAAACCATCAGAAATCGCTAAGAAACCAAGCTGTATATTGTAGTACAATAAAAATATAGAACAGTGGATATTAAGTGATGCAGTCACTACTCATTAGCCATCTTACGGAAAATCTTTCAAAAGGTTAAAAAAAAAAAGGTTCTCCTTGACAATCTTATATTTATGCTTTATACGATGTAAAAAATGGTACAGAAACACCATCACTTCAGTTTCGATTAAAAGTAATTGGACAAATTATGAAGACAATCATGTCAAGAACAGAATGTGAATTTCGGGCATTAGCTGCACTTATGCCATTTCGTCTTTCAGAAAGGCATTTTCCATTTCTAATTCTTAATGAGAAGAAAATGTATTGTTTGTTTCTTATACGATGCAGAGGAAGCGAGCTTCAGGAAAAACATCTTACTTTGAGTGCAAGATTGTAATGCAGAACTCTGTATGGACCCATGCTTCAGAATATATATCACTCAGAAAACAAATTCTAAATTTCATTGTAAATGTGTGTATGTGCCTGTTTAGGTTTATTGCTTTATATTAAATATTTCAGTTGTAGTTTAACAAATGCTGAAATTTTTTTTTAAATTCTTCTTTCATCGTTTATGTATATCGTTACAGCTGCAAAAGTTATATGTGTTTATTTCTATAATTCATCAAGCATAATGATTATTGCATTTTCTGTAATATTAGAAAAAACTAAGTTAATTAGAATAAAAATGCGTTTTGCCGATTTTTTTAAGCAGAATTAGGCTTAGCGAGTGAGCACCCACCATCCTATGAAGATATCTCGGAAGCTTAGCGTGGGCTGTTATATAGAGCTCTTATAGCAACGGGCTTGGAGATTGGGCTGCCATCCAGAAAGGTTTAAAGCAATATTTATGAAATTTCCGACAAAATATTACCAAATAAAGTCTGATAAATTATTTTCAGGATAAATACCTATATCAAATGGATGATGTTACGTAATAAATAATTCTTTATAATGATTTTTCCTCCCTAATTTGTACCAAGGTGGTTGTGCTAATACATGAATATGGAAGTTTTAATAATTTTTTTATATCTTTGATATGAACTCAAATCTACAGATAATATAAGGAGCATCTTACAGTTTTGTTCTCTTTCTGTATATTATAGTCAGTTGTCTATTTAGTACATTAAAAGTTCCAAAATTTAAGATAAACTTTCTACTCAAAGTTTATTTAAGTTGATTACAGACATTTTATATTTATATTTTTTTTTATTTTATTTTTTGATTAATTATGCATCTGCATATGCTTTAAATCAGTTTCCTTCCCTTTATGAATTAATTATTTGATTGAAGATGTGTTATTAATTTACTAGGTCTTTGTCGGGCAATTGGTGTGAGCAATTATGACATTGCTGATTTAGAAAAGTTATTGGATACTGCTTCTGTGACTCCTCATGTAAACCAAGTTGAATTTCATCCCTTTCAGAACCCCACTGAATTACAAAACTATTGTCAAGAGCATAAAATTCAAATGGAGGTATCTAGAGAAAATATATTTTTCATTATGAATTTGTTTATTAACTTGTTTTCTAACGTAATACATATTTTTAAAATTAATTTGATGTGCATATGCTCATATATTTTGGAGTATTGCTGATATGAATATTTGTTGTACTGTAGTATAAAGTTTGAGTTCTGGAATAGCCAGATTCTAGATTTTAGATGACCTGTTTAAATCTAGAAAGATGACATGTAGAAATTCTAAATTTAAAAATATTCTTCATTAATAATTCTTCAAGGAAGAAATATTTTTTAAGAGAAAAAGAATTTTCAAGAAAGAAGTATAAGGAAGGTTTGCCCTTCCTGAATAACTATCACAACCAAAATTGCTTATTAAAGAATAACATTTGTTGTCAGTACAGTTGCATCATTTTAACTAATGTTGAATTGAGAAAATGATTGCAAAGTGTTTTTTGTCTCTTTGTTTCATTGTTAAAGGGTGTGTTCAGTTTAGCAGCAGATGTATTGTTCATACATTAATATTATTTTGATTAAACATTGTGTACTGTTACTTCTAGTCAGTCACTGTCACTTAGTTTCTGAAAAAAATTTCATTGGCAAAATGATTTGAAAACAAAAATTTGGTGCAGTGACTGTAGAATGCAAATGAAATGCTGTGGTGTGTTCAGAGTCATATACACTCTTTTGCAAAACAATCAAAGCACCATGAAGGAAGTTGTAATTTTTGATGAAATTGAATATGTGTATAGCTCATTCACAGATAATAAAATGATTAAAATTCAAGGTCATAGTACCTATTCACGGCTCACAATCACCCATTGAGTGTTCAAATTAGTAGTTGGTCAAACCGCCCCTGGCAGCAATGCATGCTTGAATTCGCCGAAGCAAGGAGTCATAAAGGTTCCTAATGTCATCCTGCAGCACATTCTACCAGGCATTTATCAGTTATTGCTCCACATCTACGACATTTTGTGGTGCAAGAATCTGGCGGCCTACCATGTCCCAGACATGTTCAATTGGTGAAAGGTCTTGCGACCTTGCTGGCCAAGGAAAAGTATCAACCGCATGGAGACAGTCCAGAGATATGCGAGCGGTGTGTGGCCTGGCATTATCTTGTTGGAAAATGGCCCCAGGATGATGTGCCATGAAAGGTAATGCAACCGTATGCAGGATGGTATCAACATATCGTTGAGCTGTTAAAGATGTACAGAGGATGACGAAAGATGACTTGCTGTCATATGAAATAGCACCCCACACCAGAGTTTATGGCTGAATGCCTTTGTAAAACAAAGGCTGATTGGGACCGCTGGCCACGTCCTCTCCAGACACAAACACGGTGTTCATCTGCTTCAAGAGTGAAGTGGGATTCATCACTGAACACTGTACGATGCCGGTCTGATGGCAGCCATGATGATCAGCTGCGACACCACTCCAAACGACTCTGCTGATGTTGTGGAGTCAAAGGCAAACGTCTTAACCCGTTCAGGACCAGCGTCACGTATACGCGACGCAACGGTTCCACTTCTACCAGCCCAGTGTGCTGTATACTCGACACAACGATTCTGCTCCTACCAGCCTAGCGTCACGTATACATGACATTAAAATGGAACAATTTATTTGAATTTTTAAAAGCCAGTAAATGGAGCTAAGTGGTAATTGTTTTCACATGGATTGACTCGAACGGCATTTGACCTTCATGTATTGGCATTAGTTTCTGTTTTGTGCTTCTGGTTTTGAGAGATTTATTGAAATAAACAAACTAAAAATCATGGCTCTTTATAAGTGCGCTTGTGAATTAAAGCGTAACAGGCATTTTTGTTTATTTCATTAGGATTTTTTTTTCTTCTATTAATTTTGAAACTTAACATAAGCTTTCTTCGTTAATTAAAAAGTAACATTATTACAGAAGAGGAAAGACTATCAGCTTTCTCAACACGTAATGCGTGTTGCTTACATTTCTCAGGAAAAACCCAATGTTTTTGTTTTTCTTACTGGATTTAATAGGTCATTATACATAATGACACAGGCATTATATTTTGGTATATAATGTATTTACTTTACATATAATGTATATATTGGACGTGATCAGTAACAGATATCCCACCAGTGGGCGTCTTTCCTTGATAACTTTCTGGTCATCATGGATGCTGTTTTTGATTTAAAAAAACAGGAAGTTTTCTAATATAAGCCTCATGTCACATCGTGTTTGAGGATGAAATATTTCTGAGTGTCTTTTGAAGAAGTTTTGGACAGTTTCATTCTCTTAGCCATGGCTAAGAGACCTTACTTGAAAACTTAAAAATTTGTCCAAAATCACCGGACACTCCACCTTTCCGTCTAACTGGAAGATAGATTTTGAAAATTTATGTTGACGGAAAAGGTAATAAAGGTAGGACAAGATGCGTAGTGTGCTCTAAAACCAAGGAAAAGTGAAAGCAAACAACGTTCTTTGAATGCAAAATATACAATGTAGGACTGTGTGTCGATCCTTGTTTTGAATTATTTCACACACAGCAGAATTTTTAAATTGGAATTTAATTACTTACAGGTAATTCTTGTTTAGTTTTTTTTTAATTTCTTATTTGTAAAATTTTTTCATGTTTAAAGTATTTATTTGTGTGTGTGTAGTTTTGATTTTAGTATTTTGCCTGTTTAATTTCTTTCTATTAATGTGATATTCTTTATATTAATACTCATTAAAAACAAGTACATTAAATATGCAACTGCATTTCAGCTGGTCTGGTCCCATGACTGCGCTTCGTTCTCCCGGCGCTAGTCCTTAGTTGGTTAAAGGCGCCTGTGAGCATAACCCTACCTCAGACAAGCACCGTAAGATGGTGGATGGTCCCACGGGAGGTATAGACGTGGCTGTATTGCGTTGAATAGTCGACAATAATTCTATCTTGCCTTGCATTTGTGCTCCTTGGCCTTTCAGAGCCTTCATTTCATTGGCAATTTCTTTGTAGCAACCATTGCTGCCAACATCTTTGCACAGCAGTGTCTGTACGCTACAGGTGGCGGCCTATTGCTCGGTATGTTCACGCAACCCTACAATGCCACCACGTTCGAAGTCTTTAGTTTTCTGTAAGATCTTCAATATCGTCGGAATGGCATCTTTAGTTCCTTCTTTATGGAATTACGATGGCAAATTTACTCTGTTACTGGTTTTATACTTTGCGAATTGCTCACTAAAAATGCGCGCTACGATCGCAATTCCTGTTCATTTGCCTTGAAACTTTGATCATTTACATGTTCGATCAAGATGTTTTTGTATACCAAATTTCGTCACGATCGCAAAAGTCCTTGGTGCTTTGATGTTTTTACAAAAGAGTGTATGTTTATGATGTTATCTAAAAGAGGATAGAAAACAACTGACACTGGAATTATATATCCATCCAAGTTATTTGTGTACATGTTGAGTCGGAGGAAACACTTTAACCAAGCTGTACTCTTGAAAACCTTCAAATGAGTTGGCTTATACTGTCAAAAGTCATTAATCCGGACTTTTCGGGACTTCGGCGATTCCAGATTATCGATTTTTCCGGATTATAGATCATCAGTTTAAATCTGGCAAGATGGCATGCAGAAATTACAAAATTAAAAATATGAAACCATAATTTATGAAATAAAGAACAATTATGATCTAAAGGGTATCAAAATTTACAAAAAGAAAAGGCTTAATATTTATTTGTTTACTTTGTTAACCATTTCTTTCAATGTAAATTGTTTAAGTTGCTTCATTTCATGTGATAATACTTCCTCTTTAATTCTATTAAACAGACATAATTTCTTGTTTAGTTACAAAGTTCCGCTGTTCAAGTCCTATAATTGCTGTGTCGAGAATACCAACTAATTTGTCAATCGAAATTTTTTCGTTTTCTATAACCTCTGTTACTTTCTTAACTATCGGAAGCAAATTATAATGATGAGGAACTTGTTTTAAATCATATCAAAGATGGAGTACATCGAGATGAAATACTACATTTAGTAAGGAATTATAAGCCAAATAAAATAAAAACATCTGCCCTGAAGGTAAGGATAGTGCTGACAGATCAACTTCCAATTCATTGCGTGCCGCGGTGTTCGCCCCGCCGAGCAGCGTATAATTGATAAACAAATTTCGGATTTCAAAACATGCTTTCTCTTTAGATCCTTTACATATTAGCAAATATATATCGGAAATTCTATTTGATATAATCAAAAGTTCAAGCTTACTTTTATAGAATTCCTCTAACAGTCTGCAAAAAATATAATAAGCCGGATCCAATTCGAAGATTAAGGAACAACGCAATCTGCAACATTAACTGATTTAGATAATTTTAGCTTAGCTTATACCATCCGTTATACATTAAACGTGCATGTGTAAACGTTTTATGCGCACGTGCACATGCATATTCGCAGCCGTAAACGTCTTACGCGCACACGTAAACGCCTATGCGCATGCATTAACCGCATGCGCAGAAAGTTTGTAACTTTGAGGTCCGGATTATGGGTGTCCGAATTAACGACTTTTGACTGTAATGCTTTTTGGTTATAGTTTCAACAGGCATGATGAAGACATACTTTATTAAGTAGCTTATTTTGAACGAGAAGGTGTGCATATGGAAAGTTAAAAAATAGATATGTTTTTTCAGCAAGTGATGGCTGACTGTGTTATATGAAAAGCAACATAGAGCTCATTTTAGAAGTGCCTATGGTGAAAAATTGCACAGACCGAATAGCTGTAGAAGAGTAAAATACTTCATGATTACATTGAAGGAAAAATTTTATATTCAGAGCAAATCTACAATATTCATAAAATTTGGCTGAACTTCCAACTTCTGCCCAAAATACTTTTGGTACTGCTGTGAAACCTTCATCTTGTGAATTCAAGTCTAAATGAATAACTGCTTCTTTGTTCTGATACCACAGGAACACATAAACCTCTTTTCCCCCCCTTTTTTTTATTGTAAATGGAAGGTGAAGGAAACCTGTTGTGTTTAAGAATAGGAACATATAATATATAGTGAACTGAAA